TGAAGGCATCTTCAATAAGATCGATTTACAAAGAACAATACCTAGCATGAGAAGCATTTAAATACTGCATGTTATAGATAGTTTTATCTTTCGTACCGAACAAGCTGCCAGCAATGACTTGTGTTGTAGTGTCAGAAGGAGTAGAAACAGTATTCTCATTTATCCTTCCTCCACTAAACAACAGATAGTAGATTGACACGTGTGGTCTAAACAAACAATGAACTTCTAACTGATGCTGAAAGGATGAAGATATCAAGGGACAATAATAAACCATGTATAAGCCAATGAAAGAAAACATCATGGCCAAAAGAAAACAGACGAAAAGACAAATAAGTCCACAAGTAGTACCGGTTGTGTTGCTCGTGTGGAATGTGATAATCCGGTGTTAAGTCGCATTCGATAATGTCATATATAAACGAGGAAAGGAGGTCGAGATTGTGGCAACCCTTGGTTAAATAGATTTCGTCATATCCTATTCTCTTTTCCGCAATTATGACACCATCGGGTGATTACTTGCCATAAACAACACAATGGTTGTCACAAGTGGAACAGTGACAGCGTACCCTTCCGGAGCACTCGATTTCAGGAAACACAAGCCCTGGAATATAGTATTAACTGGTAGATGTATACTCTATACAAATAAGAATGCTACTACAAATAAATAGAAAGTTCACAATGGGAAAATTGAAGTCATTTGTCATAAATTTTAGATCTTAATCGACCCTCATTATTGTTATCAACTTCTTTGTGTAAAACAAGATGTGAAGCAGACTAAATTGTATCTTGGTACCTTCAATGGGGCAAATCCGATCAACATAGTCATCAAACTTTGAATTATTCTGCGAGAGGACATCATCTATGTAGCGTAACAATTGAGAATAATGCTATCTTTTTATGATTCGTCTACATTTGAAATCCGCCTCATATTGATAAAAGAAAGGGTCGATCAGAAGAGCCCGAGGATCATCATTGGTTCGTATAGCAATACCCAATGTCTATTATGTGTGACTGTCACAAGTCAGGAGCCTGCAATTCAGTGGTTTTCGTTGGTTGTTTTTTGTCATATTTTGTTTTGTTTATTTTTTTACCATAAATTAGGCCGCGTTTTTTGTTGTTGTTTGAATTGATTCACATTTTGTGAGGGCGTAGTCTTTAATAGCTGACTACACGGTACGAGTTAAGCTCATTGTTGAAATACCGTGCGGTAACGTATAGTTGCCTACCTCCGCAATTTGGATTTTGTCGAATACTTGTCTCATTGGTTACCATACCCCCGCTGCTTATTTTGCATTTTACTTGTGTTTTTTTTTATATATTTTATATCTGTAGTATAGAGTTAAATACTTTTCCACTGGATGTTCAATGAAAAATGATAGTTCAATATAAAAGAGGGGTGTCTTTCGCTACCAGCAATTTGACCTTATGTTAAGGTAAACCATGATAAATGCAGGATGTCCATATAAATTAAATGGTATCTTGGTGTAAAAAATGCTATTTCAAAACAAAACGATATTGTTTTGGGCATTGGCTGCTGGCGAATAACATATTTTTCATCGAGGTAAGACAGGTGTTTGAGCAACAGTTTGGTCTTTGAAGATTGATGAAGCACGATTGTTCATAGAACAATTACGTTTTTGAATTCTGATTTGTATCAACGACCTCACAGCCCTAACCATTTGGAAATGGTATCTATGTCTTCAGTGTCTCTTTTTCCCATCGTCTGGAGTAGATTTTTTGTTTATTTTCAGCTCTAACCGGGCCAGGATGTTCATTTTTAAAATCTTCCTCCCTCCTTCCCGAAAATCATATGGTCGTCCATCGTGTTTTAAAGTTGACGAATTTAATCTTGCGTTTTTCTGGTCGTTCTTCATAAAGAATTGTTCAGTGTTGACAGTGTTAAAGTCACCAGCAAGTCATATTTATATAATTATAACGTACTCTCCGGCGGATCTGTACTTTGTGTTTTTGTTAGGTGTTTTTTTGCTTTGTTTCGATCTGACGAGTTATGCCCTTTTTTATATTGTGTTCTTATTTTGTGCTGTTACACAACTGTCCTATTCAGGAGCCTGAAATTCAGTGTTGTCGTTTGTTGCTGTTTATCGATAGTTGTTTTGCAATTTCACCTGAACCAGGACATTATATTTCTCGTTTGAATTGATTTATTTTAGATCTTCTAACGGCTTGCTATGCGGTATGAGTTTTGCCCATTGTTGAAGGCCGTATGGTGGCCGAAAGCTGCTAACCTTCTTCGTCATTTGGTCTCTTGTGGAGATTTGTCTCATTGGTAAACTGTTGCTTTGTAGTCAACAATGAAGTACAAGCATTTAGGGAAAGCAAATAAGATCTCAGGTTGAAAAACTTATTTTGTTGTCAATCTGAAATTATACTTTAAATCCCCTACTGAATAAGCTGCTGTCTTCAGATAATTACACACCAATATTGACAACACATTTGTAGGTAGTAAGATGGAATAAGCATCATATTTTACTTGATAAACGCGACTTATTGTCTGTTATTAGTCTATTTTTGTGAATGGTAAACGAGGTACGTAATACGAAACAAATCAGATGTCATTAGCACAAATTCCAATTGTAAATAATAATTTTATTACTTTTAACATTTAAATTTGGTTTGTTATTCGTTTCACTCTATTTCAGATCTCAAAGAGGACATCAATCTTTAATATGATTCTGCATGACAAAAATGTGTGTGTCACTATTATAAAATGTAGTAATGGCAATCATGTGTAATGATTCAAATTTTAATTTTGATAACGTCCTCGTCAAATATAACTTTTTTTAATAATAAACCTTATGAGTTATAGTGAATATTGTTAGCTAAAAGGGTTGTCAATTTAATGGGCTTTAAACAGTATATGAACTATCGAGAAATAGTTGTTAATATATAAATATCAGACATTACGTTATAGAGAAAGTCCAAATAACTATCCATCCCATTGTTGCTTAAATTAGCCTCGTTTGGACTCTGTTGGATAGTTGCCTCATTTGGCATTCATACCACATCTCTTTGTTTTATAATGTTTATAATGTACAATATATTTATTCAAACTGTATTTGTAATTTTTGTTTATTGATGGTACAAGGTCTATATTTGGCCCCTGACTTAAGCTCTCTGTGGAAAACTGTTAAAAAAACACCACTTTGATTGTATATATATAGTTGCCATTAATTGCAATATGCTAAGAATTTGGACAAAAGTGTGCAACAAGCTTTGAAAAATCAATCATATTTATAGCGTTGAACCATCCATTCTTAGACTTCTAAAATAATGTGGTCACATAAGTTTTTCAAACCACTAAATAAATAAAATAAACTCAGGGCAAATAGATCCAATCTCTTTTGTGGACGATAACATATGGATCTTGTAGCAATATAATTCGAACTCAGGATATCCATAAATCATTGAGGACTTCCTGAAATATTTCAGGGCCTTCATAATTCGATTTTAAAATATCCTGAAATATTTCAGGACCTTCATAATTCTTATTAGGATATCCTGAAATATCCATGCATAAATTTTATCATACTGTACACTTGTGTATTTGTGCTTGTGTCTTGTTCTTATATTTCTGTAATCTATTATATCATTACCATGGAGTTTAGTGCTTTTTGCTTCTTAGTTTTTTTAAGCATGTTCTTTCATATACCTTTTGTTATAAATCTAGGCTAAGTGTGTTTCTTTGATGACATGCACTGGCATTCTAACAGTTCACCCTCATATTTATAAATAGAAATATAGAACAAAGGGAATTAAACTAAGAGAAAAGGCAACAAATAGAGTCTACCTTAAATATATTGCTTGATTGATTATTGTTTGATAAATGTCCAAGATGAGAACAAATTAAACAATATATTTAATATTAAAGTGTGTTAAACAGGATGGAAGGAGGGAAATTTGGACTGCTACTGTGAAAAGAGAATGTTTCTAGTCACAGAAATTTACCTTTGCAACAGGCAAACTGTGGACCCCTTAAAAACAGTGTTGCAAGGGTTCTTTAACATGTAGAGTAATGCATTCTCTCAGCAAGGGGGTACATGTATATGATTCTACATCTCCATTACAGACAGAAATGATTGGATAATTATATATCCTACACAACCAGACGGAACCCCGTAACAAGCATTTGTCTTGCTACAGGATGCAAATCTGTAACCATATTTATATATCCCAGCAACCCTTTGGATCTATGGAAATCAAACTTCTGTTGGTTACAACAAAGAAACTTGTTATAGTTCAAACAATATCTGGATATGATGAAGTAAAAGTTTGTTCACATACCAACAAAGAATCAAAGGAAATAAACACTCCTCTAGTCCACCTTATTCACCATGACAAAACTGTCAATTTTTGTTACACCCAGCATTAGGCAGTAAAAACAGAATAATAATCCAGGTCAGGTATAGTTTGTTTCACACCATAAATATTGAGTATGCTTTCAGAATATATAAATATTACATTCACCTTTGATCCATCCATTAAAGTAACTGCTACTTATAAATCAATAAGGCATCTTCTGTAGTTCATCAAACTTACTGCTGACACATTGCTGTTACAGAAATTGACACCATATAAATAGAGGCCACATATACAACTTAAATTGTTGTCCACAAAAACAATTTAAGACAAGGTACAAAACTTGGGTAATTCACTGGAACAACAAATAGAAAGTAAATCCCTATATTTCATATATTCAAAAAATTAAAGTAAGCAAGTCGGTTAGAATTGGTGCCCAAAAAATTATGTCAAGTTCTTGTGATTCATCATAATGACAGACAAATACTGTATTTCACAAAAACAACCATTGCAAACTTAAAAGTATAGATAGGACTGCTGTTTGCACAAAAAAAGACAAATAAACCCATAAAATGTACAGTCCCAAAAGAATAAAACATACATAAAACTTATCTACCTAAACATACATGCAATGAAGATGAGGCTTGACTGTTACTTACTCTTGCCTTAAGGCTTAACTATAGGACTAACTAACTAAACTTGTTTATTTCATTCATTTACTGCCTACTTGAGATCAATTAAGTTACTACTAACAACAGAGTTTATGGTCAATCTACAATAAACTTTCCACATTTGTAAACTGAAAAATCCTCGGTATATGAATGCAACTACATGTAGTAAACTTTACATGAATAGTTAACATTTATTCACTTTTAAACAGTGACAAATAATAATGCAACAATTTTTTCTAGACATATTTATTATAATCATTGCAAAGACAGCCCAAAATGACTATGGGATGGAATAACTGGTTTGAGCAAGCACAAATAATACATCTACACAGTGTTAACTCCTTACAGTATGTGATACTAGTATTAAACAAAAGTCTACAAATCTAGAAAATAAAACAGTTCAGAAAAAGATCAAAACAAAAACCAGATATCATTCCTTGATCAAAGAAAACATGGACCCAAACAAAATTAAAAGAGAAGGATAAAAAAATAAAAAGATATAATTTTAAAATAAACAGAAACAAATTTTCTTGACTCTATATGAGAGACATGAGGTCATGTACTCACGGATGAAAATTATTGGTACATGTACATCTTAGCTTCCAGTTATCTGCAATTTCAATTTTTCATTTGTCACAGGTATAAGGATCATTTAGAATTAAATAAGTAATTTAAGATTGGTAAATTATTTCAGATATTTTCCCATAACAGGAATTGATGAAATTTCTCTTACATGAAGGCAATTTTTTGTTGAAATATTATCCATACTATCAGCAAACTGCTGCATTTTTTTAAAGTTTTAACTGAAAACATAGAAACCATTTTTAATTTAAAAAAAAATAAAACATATTAAAAGTTGTGTTCTCAAAAAAATAACAAGAATGAAACTAAAATAGAACCCTTATTTATCATAATTACACAATAAACTGTTGCAGAATGACCAATTAGGTCTGTGTGACATGAAACAAATACATTAAATTCAGTTTTTATAAGGTCATTATTTTCTCTTTTGTGGAAAGATCATGACAGCATAACATGTTTATTTTGGTCATAATTTCCTCTTCATGTAAAAGATCAACCCAGCACAACTGTTTTCTGTTTATAAATGATCTTAATTTTAACTTTATGAACTCACCATTAAATTAAACCTGAAATACATGGACGGATTAAACTTCCTAAGGTGTCTCTTTTTCATCATACAATTATAGTAACTTGTAAAATTTTAATCACTTCACTGAAGGCACTCTGTATACTATTTTAAGTTTTTAATGACTCGCCTTTATGGAAAACTGTCAGGAGTAACAACAAAGTGAAAATTCTCAAATGACTTACAAAAATAGATAAAACAGTACTATCATCAGGTTTACATTACCAGTACATCTGGTTTTGAACAACATAAAATTACAATCAAATACAAATTGGTCAGAAATAATTCATCATGAATATTAATAGATTATGGTTCCCTTGTCAAGATTTGCTACTGGTGCTTTTCCCCAATAGACTGCTAGAAAGAGTTAAATCAGTTCAACACAATATGGGCAATTTTTTGTGCAGATTTTCTTTAATCCTTTATGAATAAAAATAAGAATGTAGCTCTACTTTAACTTGTTCCAACTCTATGGACCTATTTCTCCACAGTCCCAATCACATTCAGTTTTATATAATAACAACTTACTACAGGAAAAATTCTTGATTTTTTTTTATTGAAGTTGGTTTTGATGTAGATCATCTTTTACTTGTTGAGCAATATTTGTCAGGAGATTGATCAGTGCTGGTTTAATAATGTGTCTCTGATAATTCTATGCCCATATTATGTTCTTTGAATTCCATTAATTAAATATAAAAGCAAACTAAATAATATGATGCAGTTGTGGAATTGATCATTATTTTTGCTGGACTAAGGTTTTTTGGGATATCCATGAAAATTTTCCAACTTAAATGGATATTCCATTCTTGTGACAACATTTTATTATTCAAACTGTCACATATTATTGGAAAACAAAAATCAAGCGATAGAATCCTACAATTTCATAACAGATATACAAGTTCAGATTATTAAGTGAGAGATTCCTGTAGAGTTAAAGATGCTAACAAGACTGAAAAGAAGATTTTTCCACTTACCAATGATAAATACAAATATTATTTACAATGACACACTTATTTATTTACATTCTCAATAACCTAACAAGACTTGTACTAAAAATACTGTACATAAAAAAACAATAACAAGTAAAATATGGACGGAATAGATGATAAAATCTGTAATAATAAATAATTTATGTGAATAAAAAACATCTGTTTTAGCAAAATGATCATTAAATACTTCAAACTTTACAAACTAAAATGTAATGTAAATTAAACAATGTACGAGCTTGCAAAAATATTTGCTACAACTCATATCAAAAAGCACTTTAATCAAATTACAACCGTTTGGTTAACAAAAAATCTGATGAAAATTATGCTAAAATACAATGGCATCTTTATGCAAATGTTTGATCTGCTTTATACTTGACTAAGAAAGTCCTACTTAACTAATCTGGATTATATTTAATGTAAATATCCTGAAACTACTATGTATTATCTAAACCTGAAACTATTGTATACCTGAAACAACTTAGAGGAGTTTATTGGTCCTTTATTTTATCATGGTTAAGGGTCATTTAAAAAAAATGAATCTTTTTGAAAATTAATAACTTTTGACTTGCAAACTGGATTTTAACTTCCTTTTCAACTAATAAATAAATATTGTGAATAGTAAATGGCTCTACTTTTCAAATGCAAAAACTGAAATTGTTATTAGACATATATCAAAAAGTACTTCTATAACTGATAGGGCTAAAAATATCAATCTCATATATTGTTTAGCAGGTTTGAAATCAAAACACAAGCTTACCACAGATAAAATATTTTCAAATTTTTAATTTTTCCAAAGCTGTGACTAGCAGAGATACTACAAAATAAGATGTTGTATGCTACTTTACTTACAGTGAGACAATCTCTCACTAAGTCTTGGCCAAATATATAGTATATAGTTAATGATCTGGAAGCTGAATATAAATATATAATTAGTTTGGTTTTCATTATATACATCAACTATGTCCTCTGATACAAAAAATTAAGATATGATAGATAAAAATCTACAGTCTCATAAGAAATCAAGTAATTTAAAACCATTAATTAGCTGAAGTTAAATACTGCATTATTTTGTACTTTTGTACTTTGTTTATTATGATGGTGAGAAATTCCTCAAAAAATATATAAATGCAAACATGAAAACAGCATTTCCAATATACATGAAGTGCATGTTCTTCTTTTACAAAATACAACTAAATATCCTTCAATAATTCTAATAATGATGATGAGTATACAATGATGATGAGTATACAATGATAATCATTATGGACATGTTCTCAAGCCGTCAATTCTGTTTTTCTTATATACTGAAAATATTATATCTACTTTTTTTTTAATAATTGTATATATTCACTTAATTCATAATCAAAATCTGTATCAAGTTTCATGAAAATACCTAATATATTTTATTATTAGAAAAGTAATAACTATGTGTACAAATTTAGTACATTGTAAACCAACAAGATGTTTCTATCACAGTAAGAAAAATGTCTACAAATGCCCTAATAATACTAATACTTTTTACATCGGTGGACATTGTAAAATCTAAAATAAAAATTCCAACATATATTTTGCATTAAAAAATGAATGGAGTAAGGTTGTAAGTTGAAACTTAATTTAAGTACGTGTACACTCTAACACTGTACATAACACCAGCAATGCTGGACTAACAATTATACCATAATTATCACATAGTTATTTAGCACTTGACATGTATACGAAACACATTCTCTCTATGTATTCTTTTTCACAGCAAGCCAATTCTCTGTCATATTCATTCTAATAAATAAATAATGTGCACTCAGTAAAATCCAGTCAATTTCAGTCTAACATCTTATCTAACAAACCGTAGATTTCAAACTTACAATTACTTGGGGAAAAAGAATTTAATTCCTAAGGGTTAATTTGATGTTGCATGGAATTTCATAAAGAGAATTATCACAAATATATGGAAATTATCTAATTTAGTTATAGAGTAATAAAAAGCATTTTTTTTTAAATATGATGTAAAAAAATATTTAAAATTGAAGCATACAAAATGTTATATTATCACACACTTACTTTTCGAAAGGGAGAGTGCCCACAAATATTTTGATTTTTGATTTACTTTTTTCCTATAAGATTTCCTTTACCTGATTTCTTGAATCTACTTCATTTTAAATCTCTAACAATTCTCAGTACCCAAAATTGAAGGGACTAAATTGACCCGTTTCTACCCAGTGCATACAACATAAACATGGCTTTGCTGCCATTAACAACAAATGACCTTTATAAGAGGTCAAACAAGGTTATCACAGATCAATTTCACCTCTCCAACAATTCATTCAACAAATCTAAGTGTCTAGGTGTGACACTAGCATCTGCTTGAGCCTTTTCCATAAGCGCTTGCCCCATTTCAGAATATAAAGCATGAACTAATGCATGTGTGGCTGTCCGAATACTAGAACTTCCCCCTTGTACAGCCCCACTACTGTTGGTGGCTCCAAGTAAATGCCACAATAGTGGCAACACATGTAGCACCACTTGTTTCTGTTTCCTAGAATACACAGATCTGACCAATTCTACAAAAATAAATGAAAACATCTATATTGTAGTCCTGTCATGTAATGTTGTCATTTTAATGTTATATTTAACATTGCCATAAAAGCGGGAGGTTTGGCTAGATACAAAACCAGGTTCAACCAACTATTTTTTTCTAAAAAATGTCCTGTACCAAGTCAGGAAAATGGCAATTGTTATCGTATAGTTTGTTTCTGTATCTGTTGCATTGTCGCTTGTGTTTTGTTCACTTTGTGTTTCTGTTGTTTCGTTGTCGAAATGTACATTATTGTATTGTTTATTTGCGTAATTCTCTGTCCCGAATGTTCTTGCGTTTATTTGTACTGCATTCCTGTTATGTAATGGTGTCATTTTAGTGTTATATTTAACATTGCCATAAAAGTGCGAGGTTTGGCTAGCCAAAAAACCAGGTTCAACCCACCATTTTCTTCTTAAAATGTCCTGTACCAAGTCAGGAAAATGGCCATTGTTATATTATAGTTCGTTTCTGTGTGTGTTACATTTTAATGTTGTGTTTCTGTTGTGTCGTAGTTCTCCTCTTATATTTAATGTGTTTCCCTCAGTTTTAGTTTGTAACCCGGATTTGTTTTTTTTTATCAATCGATTTATGAATTTCGAACAGCGGTATACTACTGTTGCCTTTATATGTCTCAAGAAATTGAACTTCAAATTATGAAAGATAATTAATTCTTAGCATGTAAAAAAACTTCATTGATTCTAGTTTTTCTTAAAACTTATATTGCATGACATATTTGTCTTTCTACTGTCTTTTTAGGGCTACAGTTGTGACAAGCTTGTGACTAAAAATCTTACCTGCTACTTTGACTACTAAATCAGGTTTACTTCTTGCACTTGCTGACTGTGCTTGGTTTGACAAAGGTTGTAACAACAATCCACCATCTATAATAAAAATTTACATATTTGTTCAGACATTTGAACGAATACACTAACAAACACAATAGTTGATATAGTAATGCTCTGTCTCTGATTTTTCTATAGTAATGCTCTGTCTCTGATTTTTCTAAAGAAGAAATGTACATTTTTGGCTAACATGACCCTGTAAATTGACTGAAAATGAAAATACCCATGATACAATTATTTGTGCTAATTTTCCAACTTCAGAATATTGGCCTTAAGAATTTAAGTAGTTTTATCTAATATAACAAATGCTGAAAACCTATTAAATGTATTTCACAAAATTCAGTTAATTAACACTCACCAATATTCTGCATAAGGGCACTGATAATGTCCATTGCAGTAGTATAGATCTCTTTATTCTTTGATGATAAGTTAGGGGCCACATTGCCTACTGCCATATTTAATACAACAGCTAAAGAGTCAGACAGTAATGGTATTATCTGTTGAAAGACTTGTAAAGCAAACAAGTTAACTTTACTGTTAGGGTCTTGCAGTCGAGGTAAAAATTTGTCAAAAATCTGGAAAAAAGTAAAAGCCCATCTCAAACAAAACATTCTTCTTATTTTACTTGTACTTCTGTTATTCTGAATGCCTTTAAGATTAACAAAATAAAATGGAATTTATATGAAAAATAATAAATTGTCTTCTTACATTCTTTTCGATAGTTAAGAAAATCAAAGAATTGTTTTCTCTGTTGTTATATTTTGTACAAATGTACTTAATCAATTGTTATCTTTATTTGAGATTAATCCTCAAATCTTTTTTTCTTCTTCAGATAATGAAACTTATGATAACTAATAATATTAGTGGAAACAAGAACATAAATTATTTACCATCTACAAAAAATTTCCTTTACCTTAGTAGCATTAACAGCGACAACCTGTGCATGGGATTCACAAAATTCCAGAAGTTGTGTAATACCCTGGAGCCTTTCTCGCCAGTCATTAGATGAAATCATATTAGTCATTCGCTTTATTTCATCTTGTGTACCTTCATCTGTTCTTACATACTTCTTTGGGGATGAATTATTAACATTTTCACTGTAAAATAAAAATAAGCCATAAGCAATCTATCATAAAAAAGTTTATACAATTAAAGTAAAAGAGGGTGAATACTGACACAATCTCTAGACACACTAGATCCAATAGAGCTTACGTTACTGGATATTCTGACATTTCCTTAACTCTCAGTTTCAAATTGCAATACAGGAAGAGTATTATGCAGAACTGAAAGCAAGAAATGCAAGAAAATGTTGATTACAAGATGATGTTACCGTTTGCCACATATTTTTCTTTTTTGTTGGGGACAAAATAGAGGGCACCCTATTCATTTTCAAATTCTTGAATCATTTTAATCTTTTGCTTAATTGATATTATAAGCATTTACTGATAATATAAAATTGTAATGCTTCAGTATAAATTTCTTTTTTTTCATGTATCATTTGAAAAATGTGGATGAATCTGCTTTAAGATGTATAAATGCATGAAAGAATTTTTTATGGATTAAGATTTGGTGTTTCAGACTTCTACTCATGTATTCTTTTAGCTAATAAAGTCTTCAAATATTAACAGTATTTTCCAAAGTTACAGCATCATTTTACTATTATGTATTCATATGCAATATCTATAAATATGGGATTTCTGCACACTGGCACCAAATTTGATTGCAAATTTACACATGGTTTTTGTTGAAGACAAACGAATTTTGTTTTTTTTTGGTGATATTTGCTTATTTGAACCTTATGAAGTGTCCTAGAATCATATTAAAATTTTCAACTTGTTTAAAGGTAAGCATATTTTTTTTTATTGAAATAACACAACACCCATTTATGAATTGAAACTAACGAGTTTCAACAAGTGATGAAAAAGTTCCCCCCTCCTTATCACATTTATCAACATACAGAAAATGTTGCCATGCAAATGCAAAACAAAAATTATTTTGATTTGCCTAACTATAATCATTCTTGCTATGCTGTAGATTAAAACTTTAATCATGGTACAGACTTTCTCTATACCAGCTGGTACATACCTGCCAGCAGATCCACCTCGTAAAGTAGAGCCAGCTCTACTACTGGGACCTGACCGTAGACCTCTGGCTGAAGATGATTCACTTGGTATTTCTCCTAAGCCCTATAAGAAAAATAATAATATATAAAATTCAATTATATTTATCTAATAATGATTTCAAAGTGTGTCATTTAAACTTTGAATACATCTTTTTATGAAAAAAGTCCATTCAACACTAAACAATCTCAAAAATTTGTATATATCCGTCAATATATCAAGTGACAACAGTTGACTGTTATGCTGGCTTTAATTGTTAAATTAACGGACTGGAGGAACTTAAAACAGACAGTCTAATCATATCATGTTAAAATGAAACCTCAATACATTACATAACTTACCTTAATTTTTATGATATCTACAATTTCTTTGATATTTCTAAGAGTATTTGCTGGCAAGTGTTTTTCTAACATTTTATTAAAGTCAGGATGAGACATCAAAGTAGCTAAGATTCTTCGTCCATTAAACCTGAAACAAAAATATGACTCATTTAGCAAAGAAATTTCAAAATATATCTCAACTATAAAAACAACTATTCATTTTAGTATAAAGTAGTTTTAACCCTTGGTAGAGCTTAAAATTTTCAAATTGATAGGAAAGAATATACAGTGTTCTAAAAATTATTTTGACTGCTTAACCTAGCATAAGTACATGTTAATGAGAAAAAAATAAGAATAAGAATATTTATCATTCCAATTAAGAGCCCTTGATGGGCACCATGACATGTATACACACAAAACAATACATTGTGATTTGTAACAGAAAAAACTTTTTACATGAGATAGAAATATCAATCCTGATTTGTACTAGACTAACATGCTGAGTTCACAAGGTAACCAACCGTCTGCAGTGTAATAAAAGAACAGAGTTTCAATGTCCCCCGCATTGCACATATTTTATCTATCAAAGGTACAAGTACAATAACTAAAGAAAGCACTTTTTTTTTATTCTTTAAAACTTTTTATTTTTATCTTAAGAGAAATGAAGGCTTCAGAGCAAATGCAATGTGATTTCCATTATAATTTATATTTCCAAGGGGCATAACTCGTTTAAAATATTTGATTGCTGATGTAAACCTATGATATAAGTTTCATAAAAATCTGGCAAGAATTGTACTCATGAGAGCGCTAACAAGACTGGACACCCGGTATTTCAATGTCCCACCCAACATGTTACGCGGGGGACAAAAATGTGAGGAAATTACCTTGAATATAAAACATATTGCTAAGAAAAGTAATAAATAAGAGTTCAAAAATTACATTGTATGAATTTCCTTACCTAGTTTTTGGTGAGCTGTCCAGACAGAAGTGGGCTGCAGTTGGTAAAATGCGATCTGTGATATCTTTGACACCACTTAATACTTTCCCAGGACCCATTTTCTCCACAACTCCAACAACATAATTAGAAGTTGTTTGCCGCACAGCGACATTTTTATGACTGAAATAAGTAAAAGAATAAAGATAAATATAAAGTCATAACAAACATCTTGTCTGCAAACTTCAAAGGAAAATAAAGATTTGGCTGAACATGACTGAATTCATTATTATCAGAAAATAAAAAGATCATTTAGTAAACAGACTGCTTGACATGTGATTTCAAAATAAGGTAGATTACATGCCACAAGTGATTTTTCTCTATCTGTCATGTAATTTGAAAACTTTTTTTGTTTTACTTCTTTTTAATACTCATAATTATTTTAGCATTTAGAGCCTGCTATTACTTTCTATAAATTGTAATTTGTGTATTTGAATATTACTTCTATACTTACGTAGCACCACCTGAGATAAGGGCTAGAAGAGAGCGTTGTGGAGTGATATAGTTTACCATAGCAGCTAGGACTTTATCAACATCCTCACGAATAAACCCATTACTTTCACCACTCTTTGCAAGTAATGCTTTTGCAGTTATATCAATATCCTGAATCAGAGAAAGATATTTACCTCATTATCACACTAAGCTTCAGTTATATACAACATTTCCAACCAATAAGGTTTATGAATTGTTTCAACTCGGAAATGATATACAGAACAGCAAAAAGAAGTTAAGCTATTTCTTTATAGGCAGCCTGCAACTGTTGAGAATTAAATTTAACAACTTTGCAATTCTTAAGTCAATTAAACCACAATTGATGCTTATGCAATACCATAAATAAAGTTTGATCAATATAATACTCACTGCATCCATTTTCTTATGGAGATGTGTAAACATGTCTCCTATACTGATAATGGCTAATCTAGATACTTGTGACCGCAAATTCTTCACCTTAAACATAAATTGATAAAGGTAACCTTACATGAATACAAAGTAAGAAAATTTCTCTTCAATCAAAGCTTTGGAACATATTCAATATTTAACAATTTGCCCCTGACCACAAATTTTTGAGCCAGTTGAGGTTAATCAATTGATCTTTTAATTAAAATAGTGTAATCTGATTAAAATTTACATTTCTCTTTTACCTTTTGGGAAATATTTATCTAGAACTTAGAGGATCATTTCAATTCATCAACAAATACATACTGGAATAATTACATACCTCTTTTAATGTTGCTACCAATATATTATGTAATTGGGAGGTGACTGTATCTGGGTGAAACAATGCTAGGCGTCGAATACTGTTTAATCCACTACATTTAACTTCCCTAAAAGTTAAAAGTTTCATTTTTTTTTTTTTAAATACCCAATACTTTCATAAATCTTCATCATCTTAAGTCTTAATTGTTCTGAATGGCTTCATATGGTTGTGTTCATTAATAATTTAGCTGACATTTTCCCAGCTGGTTCCATGTCATCTTTTTCTTAGCCATGGTATTTTACCATTCAAAACATATCTGTTGATGGGTGAACTGGCTGAGATCAGTGATAAACAATATTATAATAAAATTTCTATATAAACTGTTATTACAGAGATATGTCTCGCCTTTTTGTAATTTTGATAATGCAAACGTTGAAATTAAAATAGCAATACTTTAACATGTAAGTTATGCAAATATTCAAAGTCGATGAACCATGACTGAAGGTACATGGCTGAACAATCTCCATGGAAATGAGATGTGCCAATGTTTATACAACTGAACACCAAATACCATTGACTTATTAAAGTGTTCCCTTAAAACAAACCTAAACACAAACATTAACTTGTAAACTATGTAAAAGTTTCAAAGTCAATGAACCATGAAGAGGGGGTGGGGCTTTATAATCTCCATGGAAAAAAGACTTGCATATGCCAATAAATTTGCATACCAAATATCATTGACTTAATATAAGCAGTTCATCTTAAACTGATCTAATCACAAACTAATACATATAAACTAAGCAAATGTTTCAAAGTCAATAGACCATGACTGAGGGGGTGGGGCCAAATATTCCCCATGGAAAAGAGATGTGCTAATGCTTATACAACTGAATACCAATTAACATTGGCCTATCACTAATGGTTCCCCTTGAACTGACCTAATCACAAACTAATACATGTAAACTAAGCAAAATTTTCAAAGTCAATAGACCATGACTAAGGGGGCAGAGCCAAATAATCTCCATGGAAATGAGATATGACAATGTTTATACAACTGCATACCAAATATCATTGACCTACCACTAGTGATTCCCCATAAACTGACCTAATCACAAACCAATACATGTAAACTAAGCAAAAGTTTCAAAGTCAATAGACAATGACTGAGGGGGCAGGGCCAAATAATCTCCATGGAAATGAGATGTGCCAATGCTTATACAACTGCATACAAAATATCATTGACCTACCACTTGTGGTTCACCATAAACTAGACCTAATCGCAAACTAATACATTGTTGACAATGCCGCCGACGCCAGAAACAGCATACCTATGTCTCGCTTTTTGACTCTGTCAAGGCGAGACAAAAACTGGCAAAGGACCAGAATATAATTTCTCGGGCTTGTCTGTACAATATAACTGTTTTGGAAGCCCTGGTCATCACACATTTTCAAAGACAACGGAAAGACAAATGGTATTTGGTGTTTATATTCCTACTCACTTAAGGGGGTACCCAACACTTTGACTAAAGTAGATATGGCATGTTCAACGTTCATAAAATTTTGACAAAATGTTAACTTTGTTAAAAACTTTGACCTGTTGACAAAGATATCAAAATTACAAGAAATTTGAACCATACAATTTACAGGAATAATTACATTGGATATATAACACTTTGACAAACACTAATTTTGATCATTGAGAAGCTTGATTTTTTCTTTCTAATATCATGCCAATACAACGGTCATCTGATTTTCAAAGAGTTAACTCCCTTATGTGTTCGGTACCCATTTAAAAAATAACTAGAAATTATTGTGCTTCAGAAAACATTTGGTGCAAATATAATTTTAATAAAATGCTCCGCTGGGAGCAGCTTGATACGACCACAGAGGTCGAACCCTGAACAGTTGGGGCAAGTATGGACACAACATTCAAGCTTGATACAGCACTGAATTTGGATTGTGATTAAATATTTGACACAGCATAGGTTTCTGACACAGAATGAATGTGGTCTAAGAACTTAAAAATATTTTAATTTACCTATTCAAACCATATCATTATTATTTGCTTTTATATATAAATCAGAAATAACCAATTTAAAATGGAAAATTTTAAAGAAAAAAAAAGGAAAAAAAGGGAAAAAAAATCCCTCCCCCAAATTTTTTGAACCCCCTTATGATTCATCACCCCAAAACTCAATCCCAGCCTTCCCTTTGTGGTATGGTACCTTGCAGTACAATTTCAGAGAGATCCATACACTTGAACACAAGTTATTGTCTGGAAACTAGAAAAATGCTTGTTCTTAGGCCCCTTTTTGGCCCCAAATTCCTAAACGTTTTGGGCAATTTCCCCCAAACTCAAACCCAGTTTTCCTTTTGTGATATGGAACTTTGTAGTACAATTTCATAAAGATCCATACACTTACACACAAGTTATTGTCCTGAAACTAGAAAAATGCTTGTTTTTTGCCCCTTTTTGGCCCCTAATTCCTAAAATTTTGAGGCAATTATCCCCAAAATCAATCCCAGACTTCCCTTTGTGGTATGGAACCTTGCAGTACAATTTCAGAGAGATCCATTCACTTGAACACAAGTTATTGTCTGGAAACTAGAAAAATGCTTATTTTTTGCCCCTTTTTCCTAAACGTTTTGGGCAATTACCCCCAAACTCAATTCCAGCTTTCCCTTTGTGATATGGAACCTTGTAGTACAATTTCAGAAAGATCCATACACTTACACACAAGTTATTGTCATGAAACTAGAAAAATGCTTGTTTTTTGCCCCTAATTCCTAAAATTTTGAGGCAATTACCCCCAAAATCAATCCCAGCATTCCCTTTGTGATATGGAACCTTGTGGTACAATGTCAGAGAGATCCATACACTAACACACAAGTTATGTCTGGAAGTTACAAAAATGCTTATTTTTTGCCCCTATTTCCTTAACTGTTGGTACCATAACCCCCAAAATCAATCCCAACCTTCCTTTTGTGGTAATGAACCTTATGGTAAAATTTCATAGAGATCCATTCACTTAAACTAAAGTTAGAATGCGAAAACCAATGTGTCTTTGGACGACGACGTCGCCGTCATACCAATATACGACCGCAAAATTTGTTTGCGGTCGTATAAAAATTATTCTACTAACAGGAATATTCAGCACTCACTTCAATCTACACTTGCATTATATACAAATTGAGGATTATTAGCTCAATCTGAAGACTATTGTATTTGAACTTCCCAAGATAGAAAGAGGACTTACCATTCTTCATTTGAAAGACTGTTCATGGCATCACGTAATGCATGGTCGGGATCACGATAAGGCTGCCAATCATCTGGGTTATCAGATTCTAACATTGATTTGGAAGTTTCTGATGTTTGACTAGAACTAAAAGAAAAATTTCACAAGGTTATAATTTATAAATTTACATCAATTTTCTCATCCATCATATTAAAAAATATGTAAGTATTTCAGTATATAACCCATTTCATCCACGTTCTAGTCCCATATTACTTTTCATGCCTAATATACAAAACTGTTCTTTGAAATGAATTGAGTTTAATTTCTATAATGAAAGATTGACCAATTAATATGAATTGACATTTATTTTCAATCACAATTCACATACCTATCATTATCACTGAAGTTTGAATATGGCGCCATAGTCCTTTGTGACTTTACCAACTTTGAATTAATAAGAGATGGAAAGAAAAAAAGAACTAAGCCCCAAAGCTGTTATAAAAATTTATAAAGGGTTCCATGGACCCTGTGTGTCAACTGGGATTGCTGTTTTTTTTCTTCTTTCAGATTCTATTTCTAAGTTTCTAAACATTTCATGAAGGATAAACAATGACAACTAAAAAATACAGAAAAAAATTAAAAACATATTTTTAAACTTTTGAATCAGATTTTATATCTTAATTGTAAATAAATAGCTTCTGCCAAAGTTTCATAAAATTCTATGCCAGTTTGAAAAAGTTATTGATGTCTGATAAACATTAACCCTAGACTGTACCTTACAACTGACAGAATGTAGGATTGCTGTGTCTCACTTACACAACAAAATTTTGCAAGTGCAACAAAAAAATGAAAGTCCAAGGTCACTGGCAAGACATAACTGTCATATTTAAACTTGATACAAGCAATTTACATGGGAAAGTTGCGAGCTGAACCTGATTTTACAGAGCAAAACATTTAAATGTCAACTTACGTTTTCTTTATAGATTTCCTTGGGGACAATGAAGGAGAAGCTCTGGTTTTGGGTGTAGGTGGTCCTGGTTGGTTAGGTGGTCCTGGAGGGTTAGATATCGATATTGCTGTAAAAGAAAAAATCAAATAAAGTCCAGAGATATAATTAAATTCAAATAGTATACTAACTTGTTTTAACATAAAGAAGTCATAAGCCGTATACTTTTAACTAAATAACTCTATAATACTATAAACACAATGAAATACCAAGTCCTCATTTTAAATGAATATTTTATTTCTTATTTTTCACCTTTTCAAGCAATTCAGTTAAAAATTCTGCTAAAAACAGGATGTAAACAAATAAAATGTAGTTATCTACTGTTTTATTGCAGTTTATAATTAGACATAAACAACATTCAATACAGATTGAATCCAAACATGCACAATCACCGTCAATGATTAAATTTATAGGATTGTGAAGAAAATAACATTTTTAATTACCAGCTGTTGCTCCCATTTTGATTGTCAGGTACTATGTCTACTGAACCAATCAAAGATAAATCCTTTACTGATTTAAATATATCAAATGAAATTCCAAAAGCTTCTGACTTCCATTCTTTATATTTTGGTTAGATGACATTAGCTGCTTTAATTTGATCAGCACCTTATAAATCTTTCACTAAATACGTAGTAATTAACTTGTAACAGTTGATGCGAGACACAGAAACAAAGCTATCAGATTAATCTCATGGCAAATTTATAAACCATCAATATTGTTTCAGTAGCCTAGATACAAAAGGTGTGCTAAAAAATTAATGTCTAGACATATTTGATCTCAGGGAGAGGTCATAATTGCATGAAGGATGAAAAAAACTTATAATGACAAGTTTGGACTATTAAAGTCAAACAACAGCATTTTGTAATATCATGACTTATCCTCTTGATAATACAAACTTATTACATTTTGTGATGTAATGACCTTGATAATACATAGGTTTTCTGAAGAAATTCTGAGAACATCAAATGTAATACCATACCAACAACAAGGAAATTTTTTTTTGTAAATCTAATCGCATCATTTTTTTAAATTTTCTTTATTCCTAAGTTCACATGACTTATTTTAACTATAATCACCCAAAGGGTTACCAGTATGAATCTATGCCACGAGTTAATCTATGTATCAAATCCCAAGATAATATTCAAAATTTTTACAATTTTTTTTAACATTTTATCCATTGCTTAATAAATATGTACCTTCAAGTTCTTAAGCATGTACCAAATATGACCTTTAAAAGGTGTAATTTTAATAAACAATGAAAAAAATTAATACATCTGAATTTGTTAAAAAAATAAAAAAATACTCATCTTTATCGTGAAAGCTATATAACTATAAAAAGTTTTCTGTATTACAAGTTAAGAAAGCGATTAGTATTGAGTAAAGAGTGATAGGTAAAAATAATGCTGTGCAGTTGAAGACTTACACTCAATACCTATGCTCTCATTTGTATTTAATCGACGTAGTTTCTCTTGCTGCCTCTCTCGTTCTTTCCGCAATTTTTCATCATGTTCTTGTTTTTTCTTTTCTCTTTCAATTCTCTGTTGTTCTGCTTCTTCTTCTTTCTTTTTCTGTGCTTTTTCCAATCTTTCTCTCATAGCTTTGCTCATGGATTTATTTAACTAGAGAAATGAAAGTGTATGTAAAACTTTTATAATAAAAAAGTAAAACAAAATGCAATACCTATCCAATTATAAAGATCAATTTATAATAGGACCAGAAAATTTTTTTTAATATAGCTTTGGACTTATATAACAAGCTTTACAGGATGTTAAGTGCATACTTTATTTCCAAATACTTGGTCATGGCCAACTTGAGATTTATAACTAAGACTTAGTCATGGCCTACTTGAGTTATATAACCTAATTGGATTGTTAATTAACAGATCTAATTTTTGAACTACAGCATTTCCCAAAGAAGTAATGAAAGTTATCAAGAGTTAAATAAACAAAGTAAACTTGAATTTGGTGAGTTACCCAGAACAGCTCTGAAATCATGATAATTTGTCAACTGAATCCAGTAAACCAAGTCAATTTTTTTGTGCTTAGCCCTTTCTAGCTGATTTTAAAGCAACATATTTTTGTATAAGAGAAGATGTAAGTTTGACATATTTGTCACAATTGATATTCTTGTTATTGTCCTACGTGTGTAAATAAATCACTCACAAAAATGAGTTGGTTTACAGTATATACAATCACTCTATTAGTGTTTGGATTTTTGGTTGGTATGCCTGAAGGTAAATGATTGTATTCTTATTTTTTTTTTCTTTATTAAATTTCTTACATCTTCTTCTTCAGCGTAATCATTGAAGAGTTCATCATTAGATCCTGTGCGGTTGTTGACACTGACACCCACAACACCACTGGTGAAGTCTTTACGGTCTGATCGCTGTGGTTTTTTATCATTGTCCTTAGACTGGTTATTTCCAGTTGATGAATGCTCAAATCCATTACTAGAATCAAACATTCCTAAAAAGATGAAAGGAATTAAATATTAATGCTTAATTATGAAGGAAAAATTAATTAAGGATTGTGTATATTACTTGAAAAATCATAAGTATGCCATTTGAATTTTCTTTATAAATTCTTGAAATGGCACCATAAAAGAAAAGGTTGAGTTAAAATACCTAAGATTCCATCTGAATTTAAAGCTAGACATCCATGTGTGGACATGTGTCTATTGTTGAAGATTGTATGATGAATTTCAAATATTACCTTTTTGTTGTTGGGTTGCTGTCTCATTGATATTTACCCGCAATTCTTTTATTCATGTCAAATGCTCAGTTTTATATTTTTAATGTCAACAGAAAAAAAATTACCATAAAAAAGCAAACCAATATAAACTCATTAGAGATTTATTTGTTGTAGAGGATTCCATAAGAAAATTACCATCAGCAACTTTTATAAATAAGTATTTACCTTGTAAACATCTTTCCTTCATGATGGAAAATAAGTTAAATCACTGTTAAATCAACAATTTAAGGCCATTTTCCTTGATTTAAATGTATTATGAATATCAAATCTTGTTGGTTTCTTCACAATAATGAACAGTTACTTCACATTAAAATAATTTTAAATGTCATTTCCATATTGACCAAAGATGTTTTAGATGTTTTAGATGCTTTTTATTGATGATATCACAATATGTTTCTGCCTGACTGACTTGTTAATGACTTTTTTTCTCAATGAGGTATTTGAATCTCCATTAAATTCCAATTAGCGTGAAATCCATTCCATTTTATTTACCTATTAAATTTGGTGTGATGAAAGAATTGCATTTCCTTTTTAGTCTTAATGATGTGAATAAGAGGGTGTCCCAACCACATTTAATTTTCTTTGAAAAATTGTATAAATAGTTTTTATGGTGCCATATCAAAGCAATTGGGTTAGACAGCAAAAAAGCCATTACATGTTGTGAACAGTTCAGAATGGCACAATATAAATGGTAACTCAATAAATGACATTTCTTACGTAATAATGCAAATTGATGACACAACTGTAAACAATTAAGTGCAGGTGCATGCACTCCCCCTGATCACAAATAAAAGCAATTTTGTGTTCATGCTGGTATCAAATTGCCATTGTCAAACCAATAATGTGAAAATGAGACAAGAAAATTTCAAATAAAAACAAAAATATTGTTTCCTATTAACAACGGAACAGGATTCTACTTTTATTAGGAGTCTTTATTGATTTTATATAAACACATTTCATTCATCATGTGTTTATAAAATGCATATGATTCAGTCAACATTACAGTAAACAAAGTATATTTTCTGCTGATATTCACTCAAGGTAAATGCAGTCACCCAATGTACTTTTATAGTTCACATTAGTATCATAACACAGTTCTGTTGTAGTGGAAGATGACAATGGTTTGAACCATGAAATATATTGAATTGTGTGTACATTAAGTTATAAACATTTCACCCATGCTTGACATTCTTTTATAACCATTTTTCTATATCACACTGTGATCAAAATAAACTGACAAAAAAATGTAAGTTAATAGTAGATATTGTATTTGCTTGTTATCGATGCAGGTGTTATTGATGAAGGAAGCATTCAAAGTTCAGTAAGACTACAATTACTATGCATCCAAAATAAGTATGCGACTTCTCATTTTCATGCATTTTATGGGAATCGCATAAATAAGAGCAAATTATAAAATTTCAACATTAAATATATTCTTAAAACCTGAAAAGTGGTATCCAAGCAAATACATGAATTAACAGTAAGCCTCTTCTACTGAAATGTCAATACTTGTATTCAAAATTATGTTTTTGTTAGTATTATTAGGTCATATTTCAGGAGATTATATTTCTTCAAAGAATGGCATGGTATAATGCATCATACAGCTTCAAACACTTCGTAACCACACATATGCAAATATAAATAGCAAATCATTATTTCTATGCTAAAGTACACTATATAATTTCTACAACTACTGTGAGGAAATAAAAGGTTTTAACTTCAAAGTTTGCTTATAGAATATAATTAAATTAAATGTTGTCTCTACCTATTTAACAGATCAAGAGTTTACAGATAATTACATGCTCACATTTAGGGTAAAAGTTGACAGAATTATATGTACTTAAATGTTAAAATGCACATGCATGCATTTTGTTGTTCTTGAGCAATTTTGAATTCCAGATATGAACAATTGTATTTCACTAAAGAAACCTTAAATAAAGGAGAATATTAATAAGAGACAGAGTAAGAACTGCCCACATTGAAATATCTTTTGGATAATTTATAGGAAAAGCATTTTAAGTAATTTCCCATGTGGTCAATACTATGCATGAAGAAATATGGCTGAGATAGAAACAAGTCAAAGTTAAATGCAGTAAAATCCTTATGAAAAAAACCAAAACACAGTACACTTTAACATTATATAGTTCCAGACCATTATCAATATCAAATCATTCCTTAATACAGAAGCTGAGTAATAGATAAGAAAGTTGTCCACCGAAAACAGATAGGGTCATTAAGTAAACCGTCCCCTGTGGATATTTTTCTTATCACTTTTCCAATTTTGTTTGTGTATTTATATTAGAGAAGATCCATATATAACTATGTCGCAATAATTTACATTCACATTATCTTTCTTCTAGCAAATCATTAATTTGTTTACAGTACATAAGTACATTTTGATAGTTTACCCCTATATTCTATTTGAATACTATAATAATGGCATAGGGTGAGAACCTCCAAATCCTTGTTTAAATATCTCCCTCTGAACCCTTATCAAATCATAACTAGGTATTTTTTCATGTAATAAAATGCTCCGCTGGGGCGCAGCTTGATACGACCGCAGAGGTCGAACCCTGAACAGTTGGGGCAAGTATGGACACAACATTCAAGCTTGATACAGCACTGAATTTGGATTGTAATTAAATATTTGACACAGCATAGGTTTCTCACACAGAATGAATGTGGTCTAAGAACTTAAAAATATTTTAATTTACCTATTTAAACCATATCATTATTATTTGCTTTTATATATAAATCAGAAATAACCAATTTAAAATGGAAAATTTTAAAGAAAAAAAAGGAAGAAAAAAATCCCCCCCCCCAAATTTTTTGAACCCCCTTATGATTCATCACCCCCAAACTCAATCCCAGCCTTTCCTTTGTGGTATGGTACCTTGCAGTACAATTTCAGAGAGATCCATACACTTGAACACAAGTTATTGTCTGGAAACTAGAAAAATGCTTGTTTTTTGGCCCCAAATTCCTAAACAATTTGGGCAATTACCCCCAAACTCAAACCCAGCTTTCCCTTTGTGATATGGAACCTTGCAGTACAATTTCATAAAGATCCATACACTTACAAACAAGTTATTGTCCTGAAACTAGAAAAAATGCTTATTTTTTTGCCCTTTTATGGCCCCTAATTACTAAAATTTTGAGGGAATTACCCCCAAAATCAATCCCAGCCTTCCCTTTGTGCTATGGTACCTTGCAGTACAATTTCAGAGAGATCCATACACTTGAACACAAGTTATTGTCTGGAAACTAGAAAAATGCTTATTTTTGGCCCCTTATTCCTAAACTTTTTGGGCAATTACCCCCAAACTCAATTCCAGCTTTCCCTTTGTGATATGGAACCTTGTAGTACAATTTCATAAAGATCCATACACTTACACACAAGTTATTGTCATGAAACTAGAAAAATGCTTGTTTTTTGCCCCTTTTTGGCCCCTAATTCCTAAAATTGGAGGCAATTACCCCCAAAATCAATCCCAGCATTCCCTTTGTGATATGGAACCTTGTGATACAATGTCAGAGAGATCCATAGACTTACACACAAGTTATTGTCATGAAACTAGAAAAATGCATGTTTTTTGCCCCTTTTTGGCTCCTAATTCCTTAAATTTGGAGGCAATTACCCCCAAAATCAATCCCAGCATTCCCTTTGTGATATGGAACCTTGTGGTACAATGTCAGAGAGATCCATACACTTACACACAAGTTATGTCTGGAAGTTACAAAAATGCTTATTTTTGGCCCCTCTTTCCTTAACTGTTGGTACCATAACCCCCAAAATCAATCCCCACCTTCCTTTTGTGGTATTGAACCTTATGGTAAAATTTCATTGAGATCCATTCACTTAAACTAAAGTTAGAGTGCGAAAACTAATGTGTCTTCGGACGACGACGATGACGCCAACGTCATACCAATATACGACCACAAAATTTTTTTTGCGGTTGTATAAAAATGAAATAATTTATGTTATTTAAAACATTGCTACTTTACACAATAAGGAGAACCAATTAATGCTACCAGATTTGTTGATTGTAAGAATTTCTTAAATATTAGTTATAAACAGCAAAAAGTAAGACAATATTACCATAGCTCAAAAAAGGGTCTAATGCAAATCTTACACTAAAAAATATTAAAAAAAAATCTGCCAAATAATATTTCCTACTCTGGATGTTTGTAAAGTTGATACTTATGTTTAAGGGTATACTGACTGGTTGTTGAATCAATTTAAAAACAATTTGAGAACAAGATATTTGCATGATTGTGGTTTGATTACAACAGGCTTAGTGGTTCCAGGAGAAAATTTGTTTCATATTAATGGACAGCAGACACCAAGTGATGGTAGTATTACCATATAGCCAAGTGAGCTGTATATATAAAAAAAAATCCTTTAGATTTGAATTTATAAAAGATGAGAAAACTACAAAGATGCTTTGGACTATGCAGGAAATATGGCTAATCTACTATAAAGCAAAACTGGATGAACAAAGACTCCAGATTGTCAACCTACCCTTGCCAATAACACCAATACCATCTGATGTGGGAATTTTATCGTCATCCCAATCCAAAGCACCGTGACTGTTTACAGAGGCCACGCCTAATGGTGACAAAAGCGGGCCTGCAAACACAACAACAAATGCAAAGGGTAAGTGCTGATTGGTCAGTGATTTTAACCAATCAAAAGGTCTCAAAGGTGAATAGTAACATGCAGTGAATTTCAATGTGTAGTGACGCAGGGAGGGATATTTAACAGAATATTTGTGCACAAAGCATCTAATTACCATGACTTATACAATGATGTGAAAATAATAGGAATGTGCTATTTTATCTATCTACAGCAAATGAATAAAATATTAGTTTAAATATGATCAAATGGGGTGAGGGAATCATAAGCTGTCTTTTTTTAACACCCATTTCTTTTTTGTAAAAATCAATAAGACATCAGGGCTTTATACAATTCAGCCTTGATATACAATCATGAAGACTGAGCCACTTTCACTGAATGTTACTTTTCCCACAAAGTTTTGAGGCCCTTTTGAAATACCATAAAATAATGTCAGTGATTAAAAAAATCATATGCCTAATAACAAGTTGTAACAGTAAATGTTGGTCGTAACTTAACATCTTTTAAATGATTATTTTATCTCAGTGATACTGAATTAAAACTTGTAAATATACTCAATACTGAAACTAATTAATAACTTTGAAATTAAAATTAAATCTAAAAGAAATTTATTTGCATCAAGAGATCATATAATCTAGTAATAACATACATTAAGCAAATAAAAAAACTTCACAAATTTAAGATGGAAGTTTTAATGATAAATTATGAACTTTTAACATAGTGCATAAAAAACAAGCATTCTGAGAGTATTGCATGGCAATACATAGTCCCCTACCGGGTAAAAATTCATTATACTGGAACAAAAAGCTAACTTGTTCTATAACTTGTCATGGTGTAAACAAAAAGAAAATATCAAGTCAATATCGTCAAGCATGACTAAAAACAGTGTGGAAAACTGATTAAATGAGTGAATTTTTCAAGTCCAAGGACCATAACTCTGCACAAAATTATCAGACCGAAACAAAATTTCGAACTTGATCTGTATAACTTGTCATGATAAAACTATATACCAATTATCAATCAATATCTTATAAGCATGATGAAAAAAACATTAGATATGATTAATAGTTCTCTAAAATTAGATATGATGTAATACAGTGTATATCTATTTTCAAACTATAATCAAATATAATTAATAGTTCCAAATATTTTTTATTTTATTTGTCACAAACTACTATAGATTTGCAACTTATCTATAAAATGTCAACATTTTTTATCTACACAATGTAATGTAATATATACATTAATAAAAATAGATTATTATCTAATTAAAGGATTTCACTTCATAATTTTTTTTATTATATAGCATTCAGAAAATTAGTTTATACAAAATAACAAACAAACCTGCCAAAAAATTCTTCAAATAATTTACCAAAAAATGTCTTTTAAAAAATGAGTTATCTCCCTTTGTACAGAAATATGGTTTATCATAGTACTCTTACATTAGATATGGTCCAGAGTTATGGTCCATAACTCTGGACTAAATCATCAAACCAGAACAAAATTCGAACTTGATCTATAACTTGTCATGGCAAAACTATATACCAAATATCAAATCAATATCTTCAAGAACAAAGAAAAAAAGTGTGGAAAACTGTTTTGCCGGACTCACAGATGGACAGAGTGCAAACCTAAAGTCCCCTTCAACTTCGTCGGTAGGGGACTAATAAATTGATCAATCAAGTAATGATAATTTTCAATAAAATAAAAACGTGAAAAATATGAAAGATGTGAAAAGAAAATTCACGTATAATACTAAATCAGTGACTGAACAAAATCTGTGAACTGAACAATTGTAAAACTATAAAAACATGAATTTGATTAAAAAAATCCCTTGTTTTGAAGTGATTCAACTGTATTGTTTTGAGTGAGAAATCATTGGAAACAGAGATTTTACTTGACACTGTCTATAATTTTTTTAGAAAGGCACACTTTTTAGATGATTTTAATTATCAATAGTTTTGTTCTCCACTTGCAGATTTTTCTGTAAAACCCATAGAGTAATACATGTGTATAAATTAAAATTCTGAACTAAATGTTTATATTTGAAATTTGTCTTGTTGTTTGAATTACAATTCACATGATGGTCTATATGTTTTTTTTTATATAAATTTTCACTTGCTTTCTTTCCTAATAAGAAAAAATCTTAATAGAAATTTAAAAATGCTACTGACTGTTACAAAAAGTTATTGAGGCATAGAACTCCATAATGAAAATCTCTTCAGCTTGTTAAAGTATCAAATTAATACTGATTTGTCTTCAAAGCTACTATCATTTCTGCCGTGTCACACAGTAATTATTGATTATGATTAAGTAATGTGCCAAAAAGAAGATCAGTTCATTAATTATCTGAAATGAAACATCTGGGTTTTTTTTTAATAATATATCAATGAAGTTAACAAGATATTTATCAATATAAAGCTTTTCCTCTACTGACAGACGTAATTAATGAAAAATGGGGAAAAGGCATGATAAAAATAACACCATTCAAATCTCTAGTCCTGTTTATTCAGATTTTTTGCTGTCCTTTTAAGACAAACATTAGCTTTGAACTTGTGTCTATCACCAAAATGTTGTCATCAGACAGCACACACAAAAAAATAAGTCGTATAAAAAAAAAGGAGAAAAAAAAACTTAAACCTATTTCAAATTTTCTTGTGTTGACAACTTAATCTGTTAATATTAACTTCACATAAAGTCAGAACATTTATAACAACCATCCCCCATTTCCCAACATAATCCAATGTTTGGCAATGAGAAACCTAAACAAATATTTTGATCAAAATTAAAACAAAGGTAACAATGCCATTACTTTCTGAAAATTGTTTGTATTTAGGAAATAATCACTGGTTTTGGATGAGTTGATACTACCGTCCTTTATAACCCCTTCTGACACAAGCAAGGATAATGATATAAAGTTACTAAAAGCTCATTTACTTGGTTTTTTTTTTAATCCTACATTTTATATTAAATAGTTTAGTAAGAATATTTTAAAAATTGAACTTGAAAATTCAAGAATGTGATCTTCTTTTTTGCACAAAAATTGTTTAAATTAAAGTGCTTTTTGCAAATTAGGTCAAATCATACACAAAAAATTGTGAAAAATATAACAAACAATTCAAGTCAAAAGTACCTTTAGGTTGAACACGCCTCCTCCGACCATTTGCTCCCATTATTATTGGTTTTGTTTCATTTGGCTCATCATTATAACCTTTACCAACAACCTGGACGTCAGACGTCCTGTTTTCACGGAAAGTCACGCCACTTGATGGATTATAATCTATACGAATCACAGATTTTCCTATTTCATTTTTATTAGTATCCACAGTAAGGTCATGTGGTTTACGTTCAAGTGAGTTAGTTCTTGCTAATTTTGGTTTTGATTCAAATGGTGATTCTGTTTTCTTCCTGAAAGAAAAAAAAAACAAAATTCATTGAGAACTTGAACTTCTACTGTAACACTTCCAGTTTTTTTTTCTTGATTGAAATTAACTTGGAAAAAAATTTGCAAGATTTATGTCTAAAAATATTATATTTGTTTAAACTGCCCTGAATCACTAGACACTTGCCAGTATTTTTCACTTCTTTTCAGTATATTAATATGTTTCAAGTATAAAATTGTGTTAAAATCATGTATATATGTGCTATAACCATGATGACTATCGGTAATTTGTTGCTAACCATACCACTCAAAATGATTTCCTGTATGTACAGTACGCGTCATTTCAATAACATCCGTGGTTTCAAAAACATGTTACCAAAATACCAAATATTCTGAGAGACAGACACCTTGATAAGATTCCTCTCATTGAAATTGTAACAAAGGAGAATTTCCACTAACTAAATTTTGTTTAAAAAATGCACCTATTAATTTTATTGAAACCCAAGATATTGATCCATATCTGACAAAAGAAAGTAATTCAAGATACAATCAATTCCTTCCCTGAAACAGACAGACCAATTTAGGTAATCTGATTTTTTCCAGATTAACACTATTCAGTAAATTTTCAACATGTAACCATAAAAGTGTAGTCAGAAATCCCTTGAAATTACAGACAATCACTGCAAGTAAACAGCTCTGCTATATTTTAAATTTTTTTTAGATTTAAATTAACTGTTGGCATATGCAAAATACTTGTTACAACACTGCATATGCATTTTCAGTGTGTTTGTTTCTAATCAGTATAAGTCAGTTGGAGTGCATCCTTTTTTTTTCAATTTGTATGTTTTTTCCTCAAAATTCATTTAATAACAAAAGACAGTTCTCATGAACATTGCCAGTAATACCTACCCTTTTCTGCCGCGACTTGATAATGAATTAGCATCCGACTCAGAATCTCTATTTGAAGATGCCGTGCTCCATATTCCACTTTCGTGTGTGTCAGGTGATGGTGACCTTGACCTTGAGGATATGCTTCGCTGACTTCCATGTCTGCTACTTATCTTTTCTTTCTTTTTACTGGCACTGCTCCTGATACTCTTCAAGGAATGCATCATCTTAAAAAGATCAATTATAGATTTTGAATCCAGGGATAAATATTAGGCTTTAATTACAATAATTTCATCATTATACATTCACGTTAAAAACTGAACTAATGAATATCTTCCCTTCACTGCAAAGTATAAAGCTTGTATTAAGTTAAAAGAATAAAAGAAATATTATACAGCCATTTTTTATACAAGAAAGGATCCAAATACCCTCTTGTTTTCCCTCCCTGAAAATTTTGTATCTTTTCTTATTGAATTTTTTTCCCTCTATCCTGATGTTGGTAAAGCTAATGAAATATACTTATTATAATTAATATTCACATCTGATCAATGGAATGACATCTATACCAAATAATTTGTTATGCTTCAAATATGAAGGCCCCATATGCTTACATTTGCACATGAACAGCAATTAGGATTATTTGATAAGTTTATTGGAACTTGGAATTAACAGCGACAATACCAAATTTGTTATTCTTATTGTTGAGTTGAGCTTTTTGTTTTATTTCTACAAGCACATTGATAAGATTTTTTATTAACGTCTTCTACCTACACCAATATGTCATTAAACGATAAATATGGCAACGAACTGATATAATTACTGCTATAATAATACAGCTGTAAAGGAGTTCATTCAGAGTTTATTATCCTGTACCTACATCCTGACAAACATGTTCAGATCAAATTCATTATGTCTCATGTATTTATTGTATAAAAGTATTGAACCCTCAGTATTCCATGAAGTTATTTTCCATACTTTTTTGAAATCTTTGCTGGAAATCAATAATTCTCTATGAATTAACATCTTTAAAATGAAAACAAATTACAGAAAAAAAATTAATAAATAAAACCCCAAAATTTACCCATATTCTTACAAACTAAACCAATATAATACACTATTTTGTGCAACTTTCCCCAAACTATGAACTTAAAACATTAATTATACTGACTTAAAATTGAGAATGGAAATGGGGAATGTGTCAAAGAGACAACAGCCCGAATGACAGTTTTAACTTTCATGATATTTTCTAAAAGAAATAATACTTAAAAACTTCATGCACAGCTGAATTGCATAGCACTGTTTCAAATGAAACAAAATTTTAACTGATCTTATATCTGTTTTTCTATCATCTGTTCTATTTCAATAATTTGATATGTTAATGATCAACACAAACAATTATATTCTTTATCTATATTACATGTTGTTCTGATTTTCACTCTTAACATTCCTTTTTCCAAAGAATTTTTCAAACCCTTAGTAAAACCTTATGAACGGGATTACATGCAAACCAACCTTAGGGCCTCCATGGATACTCTTCAAATATTTCATCATCTGTCAAATAAAAAAACAGGTTTGGAAAAAGTTATTAAGGGTGCAACTACACATACCGCCAAGCCCAAAGTCTCCATTCCATAGAAACAGCATGGATTTGAATTTGTAAAGTGATACAAGAAAAGTATAGCTAGCTTGATGTAAATAGTTTTTATGAACAACTTGACAATTACAAAATTAAGTCCAGAAGAATTTAGAACGTTTGTTATATCATTTGTTCCAGAAAATAAAAGCCTCTGGTTAGTATATTAAATTAAAAAAAATATGGAAAGCCATTATATCCTGTCTTTTAACAATTCCATTCTAAATTTTGAACTTCTTTCTACACTAATGTTCAAAATTATCTGTAAGTTGTTGGACAGTTTTGAGTTTCATTCCTTTTAAACACTTACTACAATGTGCCTCAACTGGTCACCATTCAGTTGTTCGACAACAAAATACAAACCGCCTTACAATATCAACATTATTTCATTTGGTAATTTTGAAAATATGAAATTGAAATTTTATTAAAAATAAGATAAATTGCTTACAAAATACCATATTTACTGAACAAAATTACAACATGTACTGCAAAATTTATGGTTTTTAAGGACACCAGAACTTAGAAATATACATTTCATTTAAAAAGGGAGCCCCTGGTTGTCCATTATAGATTAAATAATAAATAGTGTCTTTTTTATTCTTTCTTTCTTTTCCTAACAAAGTGATTAAATCCATTAAAGAAAAGAAGATTCCTTCTTTGGTTATTAGATAACTATTTATGTCTTATTCAATGTTATACAAAAGTATAATCCATAATTGTTTTAACTTTAATTTCCTTTTTGTGAATATGTCATTCTGAATGCTTTGTTCATACATGCTGTTTTACACTGGTCAAACATTCAGTAATAACACAACATTCATACCGGTAATCAAATCAAATTCAGTTTGATATTCGTTTATAACGGAGATAAAGCTCTTAGGTTAGAACATTTCTTAAAATTAATAGTAATGATCTTTATTCTGGTTGACAAAATTTCAAAAGAATTGTGCCTCAAGTTAAGTCCTAATGTCTCCTGACTTAATCAACATCAAGCTAGCTAACTAAATAGAAATTTTTATACAATATCATGCAAAAAATACAGTGGTATATAACGATTTACAGTACATAAACAATATTAGACTGATATATATCTATATCTGCATGCTTAAAAAATCTAGATATCTAAAGATGACTAAGACAGACAAGACCACTAGTAATTCTTATCAATATGTTAAACTTTAGTTTTTAAGTCACAAAAATTACTTCAGCAAAAGGCTGATAAGAATTGACATACTCTCCTCACTGACCCTATACATGTTTTATATTAGTTTCTAGAATTTTATTTGTTTTTTATAAATTTTCTGAGCCAAACCGAATTGTGATAAGCCAGTCAATCATAGTGTAGGAAATACATGGCCATATCTGTATTGAAAGGATGATAATTCTATGAAATGTAATGTCAATTGGTTGCCTACTACATATTTCTAGTACCCTATACTATGTATTATAGTATTAAATAGAGAGAATCTAGTGTTGATCTGATGGCTAACTATACTACATTTTCTAGTATATCTTTTCTCTTTTAGATTCTATGGAGCAATCTATTTTTCTTACAGAATATACAAGGTCTTTCTGTAGGCTTAATTTTCATTCTATATACTCTCAAATATAATTAAAATGACTCCTCTCTTGTTTTTAGAATTTAACATAAACATATACTAAGAGTATAACAAAATAATGCTTCATGTTATTCATTAAAAAAAAAAATCAGTGGGGTAAATTAAATCAAAGATAACAAAAATATTTTGTGCAAATAAAATTTAATTGCATGATATCCATAAATATGAAGCCATAAAAATGCAGATTAAAAAGAACCAGATTTTAATTAAGAGAAATAAGTTAACATTCCACAAAAGAGAAGCCAAGAAGGTACACTTTGGAGCTTATTTTGCCCTGTTAATTGACCAAAAATAAAATAATTGGATGAATACCATTTCTGGTTAGATTTTTAACCTGCTAAATAAAGTCCTTTATGAATTATAAGGTAAGTCTCATACACACAATTTGATGCTGGTGCAATACAATTGACAAAATAATCAAAATGACTCCTCTCTTGTTTTTAGAATTTAACATAAACATATACTGAGAGTGATGATTCATACAAATTTTGGAAAATAAGGCTTAATTTCATGTTTGAGTAAAATGAATTTAGAGCAAAAGTTCTGCCAAAATTTTTTTGTCAACCGGTAGATACATTCCAGTGTGTATATCTATGTTGCCGATGCTTGTGCTCTATATTATTTCTTAGCATCTGTGAGTCGAAAGGTTTGCAAATTCACCATTCTAAAGAATTTAATGTGTTTTTGGCCATATAACTCATTAATGGTATTAATACTTTCAATTCTGCAAATTTAATTTAGGGTTGATTTGGCCCCAAATCGTACCTTAAATTTACTGGCTACGTGAACATCTTGAAAAGTTCTGTCTTCTTAATAATTTAGATAATGTGTAGGCCTGAATCTAAAGAGAAAAGAAAATAACTGATGCAGAAGAAACATCTAAACAGACACTCGAAGGCTAGCCAAAAACTAACAATATGATAGTTTGATTACCTCCATGTGTGATTCCTCTGCCAGTGTACTTTCTAGGGATGTCGCATATGCACTGTCACCATCATCCTCTCGTTGATGGCTTACCAATCTCTCCGTTGATTGGGCAGGTATAGGAGGAACTTTCTTCGGAGTACTTCTTTTCGTAGCAGATCTTGCCAAGGCTGCTTTTGTTGGTATTGGAGATTCATCATCTTTGCCTGTCAAATATTTCATTTTTGAGCATTTTGATTATTCATATCAATATTTATCCATACCAAACATAATATATAATAAATGGTAAAAAAAATCTGATTTAACATCTAATTACATAAGCCTTTGATTTTTTGTTGCTTTATATGTAGTTACATTATTTCATACACATTCAAGACATCTATGGAAATCTATTTTTTTGTTTGTAAACTGTAATTTCAGCAAAACTACAAAGATTTTGAAGTAAAACAAAAATTAATCCCATCTGTGACTGATGATTTATGCAATTTTCAATGATTTTTTATAATGATATTTCACATATCATACTCTTTCATATAGAACTGATCACTGAAATTAGCCATTTTTCCTTTGTATGACTTGATTTATGATTACAGATCTGGAAATAACTTAAAACTTTAAATTGATCAAAACTGAAACAGAACTTTTGTTTACTGGATAGCATTGTTCTAAATTTGTGACAGATCTATTAACCTAGAGGCTTTAAAATACAAGTAAAACTCACATCATTTTTAATAAACTACAAAACCAATGAAACAGAAATTTAATATATTCAGGGCCAATAAAAAATCAGATTTATAACACTGGAACATGTTTTCACCTGGCAAAATTTAAGTAGACCTATATTTGAAAGACATGCATAATTGTACACAATGTCTGCATATATGACCTTTCCTGACAGGTCAATACAATTACCATCAACATAATTCCATAGCTACCACCCATTTGATGTGTCTACTTGAGCAAATGTTTACTTATACTATGATAAAGTTTTTTAAACTTTTGTCAAACAGATGATTACAAACATAATCCACAAATCATCCATTGTGTGTCTTAAATGCATTTTTATGCTCTGAAAACATGAAAGCCAACCCCTGTTTGCATACTGTGAGTCTCAATTTTAGATATCAAATCCCTTGCATTTGTACACTGTCTATACATCTTTCTATATTATGTTTACTAAGCTCATAATTGTGCACATAAACCTGATTTTTCTAATTACTGCCTTCTTCCCAAAATTAACACGGGTTTAGCTAAAATGCTTTTAATCTATTATCTGAACAATTTGGTTTACCTTTTTCTAGAATTACAGAACTCAGCCCAATTATGTTGGAATAACCTATGTTTCACAGTAAGTGTTTACAAAGATAGGAACTAATATTTTTAAGAAGAAACCCAATTCTATCTGATCTGCAAAAATGTGAAAAAATAGTAGCCCAGCTAAAATTTTAAGTGCCAATGGCTACTGGGCCCCTGTGATTTTCCACCCATAATCACATAAGAAGTAGTATTTAATAGGAAACAAATAAAGTAAAAACATCATCATGATTTCAAAACATGTGCGTCTATTTATTTTGAAAAATAACAGTCCTGAAATTTTGTTTTCCTTTTTACTGTGTTCATAATAAGACTACCTTCCAACTATAATGGAGGTCTTACCTCTCCAATAAGCCTCTTCATTGTGCGTGTTAGAAGGGAGAACATCAACTACAAAAATAGTTAGTGCACAGTTAAATTCTAATTCACACAATTAGTAACTACATAAAATTATATACATGTAGATCAATTTAAATCAACCTGTACTCATGAAGTTAAATTAACCTGTACTCATGAAGTTAAATCAACCTGTACTCAAATCAACCTGTACTCATGAAGTTAAATTAAGTATTGTGGATTCATTTATTTTCTTTGGTACCAATTTTCGTGTATGAGGGAAAATTCTATTTTCTTTGATATTTGATGTCATGGTTTTGCTAAAGTCTGCATACAAACCTATATGAAATTGGCACTTGGTTGAAAATTTAAGTTAGTTGTTTATCTATACCAACAAATCCACAAAAATTGGTATCCACGAATATCAATGAATCCACAGTATAAGATTAATTTCTAGTTGGTAAAATTCATTAAATAACATCTACTATGAGAAATAAAGGGGTACACATGAACTGATTAATAATGGAGGAAATAAGGAGGAAAATGATGCTGATCATATCTACTTTGAAAATGAGGAAGATAAGCGAGGACGCAGATCTATTTAAAAATAAGTTTAAAATAAACTGTTGACACAGAGATATGTCTCGCCTTTTGTAATTTTGGTAGTATAATGCAAATATTGAATCCAAATGGCAATATTAAAACATGTAAACTATGGAAAACATTCAAAGTCAATGAACCATGACTAACATGCAGGACCAAATAACCTCCATAGTTGATAAATGCCAATGCTTATAAAACTGCATACCAAATACCATTGTCCTATCATAAGTGTTACCCTTACACAAACCAAAACACATACATTAACTTGTAAACAAGGTAAAAGTTTCAAAGTCAATGAACCATGATGAGGGGATGGGGCCATATGATCTCTATGGAGAAGAGATTTGCAAATGCTAATACAACTGCTTACCGAATATCACTGACTTCACATTAGTGGTTCCTCTTAAATTCATCTAATCACAAACTTTAACATGTGAACTATGCAAAACATACAAAGTCAATAGACCATGACTGAGGGGGCAGAACCAAATATTCTCCATGGAAATGCAGAGTTCGCGAAAATGGTCGGTCCTGTCGGTCCTATCGGTCAAAATGAGGCTCGGACCAGTATTTTGAAGGCTAGTGCCGGTCCCGATGACCGATGTAAAAACAGCCGTTGTAGTGCATATTTCAGCACTTTTTTACATCGGTTATTAGATGTACCGCAACTGTTTCCAATAAGTATTTACATCGGTTATCAGATGTACCCGCTGCCAATTTCCGGTACTAGTTTACGGATTTATTATAAACAAACCAAAGCGGCGATTTACACGTGGCCTTCTAAATTTGTTCATAGAGCCATCCCTGGCAAACAATCGGCGATTGAACCCTTCAATGGAGCAAACAAATACTGTAACAGCTGAGAAAGCGATTCAGATGATGAAATGGATAGTGAAGATGACTTTAAATAAGAACAATCAGAAGACCTGAACTGGTCCTTCATTGTTAATTTGTCTGTGGGTGCGAAGAATCAAACTAATATTAATAAAGTTATTTTTCAATAAAATATGTAATTAATTTTATTTCAGGATAAAATTGACAGATTTTGTAGGACTGGCTAAAATTTTGTAGGACTGACAAATAATCATGCTTTGTCGGTCCCATGACCGACGGGTCGAAATAAGTTTTCGCGAACTCTGGAAATGATACATGCTAAGGTATCTACATACTAAAATACCATTAACCTACCACTAGTGGTTCCCCATAAAAAGTAAAATTACAAAAATACTGAAATCCATAAACTGACCTAATCACAAACTAATACATGTAAAGCAAGCAAAAGTTTCAAAGTCAATAAACCATGACTGAGGGGGCGGGGCAAAATAATCTCCATGGACATGAGATGTCCCTATGCTAATACAACTGCATAACAAATACCATTGACCTACCACTAGTGATTCCTCATAAACTGACCTAATCACAAACTAATACATTGTTGACGACGCTGCATATCTAAGTCTCGCTATTTACTCCGTCAAGGCAAGACAAAAAGTGATGATGCTGATCAGGTCTACTTTCAACATTAGCCAAACAAACATGTGATAACACTAATCAGATCTACTTTAAGAATCACTAATATAGGCATAAGTTAAAAATATCATATAGAAGCAATACATTTTTACAATCTACTCATCATTAGCAATAATATAAATAAAGCTTGTTTCTAAAAAAATTTGTGGTATTTGCTGTAAAGCGTGAAGTGCTATAAAGTTTGTATTTCTCAAGTCTTACATCCAACAACTATCCCAAAACCCATTTGTAAGACTTCTAATAAATAAAAATCTCTTTTCGAAGTAGTATGATGAATAACTTTTGAATCATTTGATAGTACACTTGTACTGAAAAAACTTCAGGAAAAACTGAGTTACATTCTCTCAGTAACAAATTCCTAATTACTGTTATCAATATCAAAAATTATGTCCAACAACAGAGCGAATTTAAAAATTAAGTCTATTTATTTTCCTTCTATTCATTACAGGTAAATAAAGAGTTCAGTCGAGAGCAAGATTACTGAGATTGAAAACTTCAATTAAAACCCTTCAAGACTGGTAATGATTACTTAAAATGTCAATTTTTGTTTGTAATATGATTTTTTTTAACCTTTTCAAACTAATATCAAGAGAAAGAAACTGTACCAACTTGTACAAAGACTGATGACATGATATGGAAAGTCAATCGAACATTTCATGTCCACATACAATACGGAATAGTAACAGGAAAACAAATACAAATTATTGGAAGACATGATGTAATTTTACTACCTTGAGAGAACATTGGTCCAAATATTATGAAATCATTATGGAAAATCACAATTATTTCTATCATCAAAATAATACAAGTTATTATACAACACTGAATTTTATTCACTTATTATGAATAACCAACTCAATTTCCAATTGTGATAACAATGAACTAATATTTAATGTAGAATCTTTAACTGAATTGCAAATTTTGATCCATATCAACATGTTAATAATTTTCAATGGAATCACTTATTAAATATTACTTTCTAATGAACATAACCCTCAACAGACTGTCAATTTCTAATATTGAATGTAAGTCTTCATTTATTTGATATTTTTGAAAGAATTTTGTTTGTCATTGTAGATTTCAAGGATTTAGAAGCCTTTCAATCAATTTCTTTTCTGCAGACTACAAAAAAAATTTGTCAAATGTTTTCTGTACATGTATTTATAAATTCTGGTTGCAAGTAGTTCAAAAAGTTCAAAAGGTGCACAATTTTCCTTTCTTTTCTTCTTTGTGTGGGTTTTACTTAAAAACCAAAATCTTTTCATGTGGTCAATTTCATTATTGAATGTCACTCTATTTAAATTATTACAAAGCAAAAATAATGAAAAGAAAAACAGAGGTTAGATGACTCAGTACAACCTAGGTAAAAGTTATTCAATCTGCAATTAAAAGAAAAACATAGTACTTAAAAGAATTCCATTAGCAAATAGCAAAGGTTTGTCTAGTCAAAACCACTGCAATTAGGATTATTTTCCATCTAAAATTTGCATCTTATCTGAAAGTTTAAACAAATATCTTGATTTTCTCTTGAAATTCCACAAATGCCATTTTACAAAATTAATAGCAGTACTTTTTATCTCCAATTTCTTTTTTTGTGAGATCATTTCAGGACATATATATATATATACAAATTTGCACAGTAAGAATAACTTTCAGAACATCTCATAATAATTAACCTTTCAAATGAATTAACGGGTAATATTAATGTTAAGAGTTTAACCCATCCATTTACATTGATTGATTTCTGTTTGCTTAGCCTATCCATTTATAAATCTCCTGCTACAAGGGCCAATAAATTGATGATAAATCCCTTATCTGCATCATCCAAACAGAAGACCTTCAATTGTTACATCACTGGCATATCCTATCAATATTCAGTTATCATAAACATGGATTCTGATGTAAATAAATTGAATGATTAACAGTCATTTTAAGTATTATTCTCAATTCAGACCAGCCAATCATTACTTTCAGCTTGCAGAGTAAAAACAAGATTTAATTTTTAGGTCTAATTAAGATTAAGATTGAATCATGAACTCAATTGCTGTCATTAGTGGGTTCCATTACCCCTTTAAAATGTTAAATTTATAAAAATAAAAGAACAGAGTTCCGATGTCCCCCGCGTTGCACATATTTTCTCTGTTCAAGGTCAATAACTAAAAAAAAAAATTTTTTTATAAACTTTTTAAAATTATCTTAAAGAGTTGAAGACAAGAGCAATTTCTGATATATTTAATATTTCCAAGGGGCAAAACTCATTAAAAATATTTGATCAGCAATTATTTTTGAAATTTTCCGTGACATTGCTGATATTAACCTTTGATATGAATTTGATATGAATTTGATAAAAATCTGGCAAAAATTGTACGTGAGAGTGCTTAGAATGCAAATTTCCATATAATCAAAATTTCAAAGGGGCAGAACTCTTTTAAAAATAATTGATTGACACTGATTTTTGAATTCGTCTGAGACATTGCTGATGTAAACCTACAATATAAGTTTCATAAAAATTTAGCAAAAATTGTACATGAGAGTGCTAAAGATGTAATTTTCCATATAATTTATGTTTCCAAGAGGAATAACTCTTCAAAAAATTATTGATCTGCACTAATTTTCGATCTCCTCTGAGACATTGCTGATATAAACCTATGATATGTTTTATAAAAACCTGGCAAGAATTGTACACATGAGAGCGCTAACAATGCAATTTTCCATATAAATAATATTTCTAAGGGCCATAACTCTTTTAGAAATTATTGATTGGCACTGATTTTTGAACTCATCCGAGACATTGCTGATATAAACCTATGATATAAGTTGTATAAAAATCTGGCAAGAATTGTACATGTGAAAGCACTAAGAAGACGGGACGGACCCCTGATATTTCTGTGTCCCCAAAAACGTGTTGCGCGGGGGACAAAAAATGTCTCTATAATAAGAATCCTCCCTTCTTAAAATACATGTTAATGCATATATCTTTGCATAACTAGAATTTCAACAGGAAAATTCCTTTACCTATGTATTGTAAAAAAGTATTCTGACAATGCTTTAACAGCAAAATGACCATAAAATATCTACTTTATTACAACACCTTTGTTTTGATGAAAGTTAATTGAAATTTAACTATCTTCAAGCAGCAAATGTTAAATTCATTAACACAAAATATTGCAAAATTAAAAAAAGGTTTAATTCCATATTTCATTTGTTTAATTGTTTGTTACTGAAAAAATCGAAGTTGTAAGTTCCTTTGGGTTATTTTTAATGGCAGCATTACGTAGCAAGACCTGGTGGTGTCATCTCTGGGGAAAATAACGAAAATAATTCTCTTTGAAACTTTCAGTAATCAACTTGTGCAATTAACTGAATCATTTATTTCAATAAGAGCATTTGTTTAGTAAAAAAAATACAAATTGGGATAACACACTCACTTAATATCAATGTTTTAACCAATAAGAATAGAAAAACAAAAAATATTGAATGAGTGACAGAACAACACATTAATGCATGAATGCCTGTAGCACACGAGTAAAAAATCCCTGTAGTAAGTCACAAGTTGAATATCTTTTTTTTTTTATATTTCTATTTTTGGATAAGATATTCTTTTTATTAATAATTATATGGAGTTTAAATGTAAATCAAGTAAAAATTCCTGGAATATACCTAATTCTATGAGTTCTTACTAAATTTTGACGTCACTAACAACATCTTGACAACACATATTTATGTACAAGCTCAGAGGAGTGAAATTATCAATTTTTATTTGACAGAGAACTAAAGGTTTTTCATTACAACCAATGTAATCCTAAGGTTTATTCAATACATTGAAAACACCCTCTGTAGGAAAGAAGATTTGCTACTCATTTCAAATGACAAATTACTTGTTGTCATAGGATTTGAAAAACAAATGGTCATCAGGCATGTGTTGCGCAATGTTCTTACAGAATATGAATTTAAATATGGCACATATATTTATTAAAAAAATACATGAAATTTCACAATCTAATTCTAGATTGACTCCAATTTTACAGAATTTCTTTACAAACTACAGATCACAGAAATAAAATTAGTCAACTGCTTGTAAACTATACGAACTGTTATAAAACAAGCCCCGATCTACTTGTAGCACAATCAAGTTCTACTCAAATATATATTATTTAAACTATGCTATAAATAATTATTCTATAGATGTATTGCTGCAATTAGACAAATAAAGCCATAATCCTCTAATAGCAAAAATAATGCAAACCACAGAACCAGTGTTAAGATGCTAAGCACACATTAAAACCTTTACCATGCTTGCCTATACTATTATCCTTGATTTGTATTGGATTATTGTGTACTGGTACATTGTACTGGCATTTGATCTAGTACTCATTTGTATGAATGAATTACATGCTATACACACACTTAAAAACAGTTCAAACCTCATACAAGATTCACATTCTGAATTAATCTTCATATTGTTCATAATTTTTTGGTTAAATAAAATAATGTAGGTACAAGTTCATATGAATTAATAGACTAATTAGACAAAGTAATCAATCTGGTTTCATATTTTCAAACATAGAAGCAAATTTTTTATTGTATGTCTTTTAGTTTAACAAATTTTACACTAGTGATAAATTTGTAGACTTTCAATCACAAAATATTCCGTTTCAATTATACTTTCCTATGACTACAATATAATATGGACGTTAAGAGATGTGATAAACTTTTAGAATTATAAAAAAATCTTACTACTTAAAACTTCCATTTCATATTTAAAATGCTTGTGGGAAGGAAATTTTTTTAACAAACCTATAAAAAGTATTCAAGAATATGTAATCAAATTTATTGAATTTGACTTTTCAATTCCTAATGAGCAAAAATTAAATGAATATTTTTTTGCATAATCAATCATAATCTTTGTACAAAAAATAAAATCAGTTAAATCTTGTATGAGGACTTATCGTGAACTGATCAGGATAAACCACACACCGATTTCATCATGCATGCAATTCATACTTACGATTTCCAGTAACCTCTAGGAAAGGTCGGACTTGTGGTTTGTATTGACCGTGTTGGTTGTGGTTCAACTTAATTTTTGATTCTAACAAACAGAAAATGGTAAAAACTTCAAAACATTTGTTTTCTCTAGTAGTAAATGTATATAAGTAAACAGTGTGTTCTGGTATAACTTGTAAAAGAGACAGATCAGAGAGGATTTGATTTGATCAGAAATAAAAGGACAACATTTTTTGTCATGTGTCAATTGTTGAGCATGTTATGTCTGATAATTATATACTGTCATCAAGACTCTTACTAGTGGTAGTTCAAATTACTTTTAAAATCAACCCCTTTCCTTGTAAGTTGTAATCAAATGTTCATTAATTCAATGACACTTCGCTTTACCAAAAGTCTCAAGGATTAAATCCTCAACCTATGGGGTATCTACCAACTGAGATAACTGATATTAACAATAAAAAGGATGCTTTATTTGTCTCTATTTCAATTCTATATATATATAAAAGTACCTTTTAAAGTGACACTAAAACTAATTGGCTAGTAAGACTTTCTTTGAGAAGTGTAACGGAGTCACTCCTACCAAGAACAACTTCAGGCTTTATTAACCCTGTAGGTTTTAAAACTCTTATAATCACTCAACAAAAAATAGAAATATACCTTTAAGGATACAACTACTTTTTGAGATTTTAATCTTCTCAAATAAAAGTGAAACAAACACTTAGATCAAATAGTGTCAAATAAAATAAATTTTGCTAGTGAATTATAAAATGCACCTGCCTAGTTCAACAATCTTAAAACACAACACATTGAACACTCAAGATCAAGAACTGAAGTGAATTAAACAAAAACTAAAATTCACAACAGACAACTTGAAGTGTTCAAAAATATAAATTGAGAGCTTATACCTAAACAAAGCTTTGATACACCTTCTTGGTTATCCTAGCAACTTGTTCCTGTATTAACTTTTGTCATATATTTTATACAGAAAACATAGATCCGTCACAGATCATGATAGTCAAACAAAATGTCTACTAAAACTTTCAAAACAAAAACTTAATCAAAAATGTACTTTTCAAAAATTAATTCCAAATTTATTTGGTCATAAATCAGGCTGTTAGTTTACTAGTTTGAATTGTTTAACCTTTTGCCATGTCGGAACTTTTAATAGCTGACTATAAAGTATGGGTTTCTCATTTTCGATGGACATACAGTGACATATAGTTGCTTTCATCCACTTCGACTGGACTTTGGTGGATAGATGTCTCATTGGCAATCATATCACATCTCCTTATTCTTACATTAAGTTACGAAATATCTTTTGAAATTGATTAATAAGTGAGTAGACTTAGAATTCAAACCTTCATTACTTATTTCTAGACATGGTACTTTTACGAGAAAGTAATTTATATTCAAATCTCAGTAATATATACCCTAGAAAATGTTAAATATTTGACAAACACAACTCCCCACTTGAGAACATGGGTTCAATTCATGGACAAAAATTTAAACAAGTGCCGTCCCACAACTTAAATAAGAAGTACAATACTGCAATAAATCTTGTAATATCTATAAACAAAAATTTCATAATCCTTTAATTTTCCTACATATTTTAACTTCACAGAGCCAAAATTTTAAATACATGTATCTTAGTTTACATACATGAACTTCCAAACAGTGCATATGCACACCTACACTGATTAAGTAAGGTCATTTTTTAGTAACTTGCAATTATGTTGTAACTTTAAAATTATTATTGTACAAAACAAAATGAAAATGGTTACCGTTTGAAGAAGAGCACACTAGTCCCATCCCATCACCAAAAGTCATAATTAACCATCAATATCCACAATTGTTATCTTTCGAACAGTGTTGATAATAAAAATAAATATTTCCACAGCCATCATCAAAATATCCAAAATAAGTTAAATTCGTTCATTAAAATAAATCTTCAAATATGGATAAACTGCAGGAAGAAAGTCACAGAATCAAGCTGTACATTCATGTGATATTCTAATATAGTTAACCGTATTAACAAATGCAGTCAATAGATGTAAATTATCCATACAATTAAAGTAATAATTTTCCTCTCTCCAGAATCAATCAAGCATGAATTATTACTATATCACAAATTAAAATCGATAAATGATTGATACAGGTTGCCATCCAGAGTCTCTCTCAAGATAATACAACTACAACAGAGGCCTTTGCATAGATAACTGTTGTTACCGTTTGCAAACATTTACTTTTATCTCGATATATAACATTTTTAAATCCCAATTTTCACTTGAAAAAGTTTTATATAAACCTCCTACAAGATATTGCACTTTGGAAAAGACAGGACACATTATAAAAAAAAATCTGTATAATTATGTCAGACTGGAATTGAAATCAAAATATTCTGGTTATTTCTAGTGATCAATTTACTCTAGTTCTTCACTCACTGATTTAAAACAAAAAGATCATGATTTGGTAGAAAGGTCTCAAAAAGTCTCTTGTAACTGTGACAAGAATAACTTTACATTATTTCAACATATGTAATTGTATCTATAGGGCAGAACTGGAATATGAAGGAACAAAGAAATTCCTTCAAGATTGCTCAAATATTTGACAGGGTGCCTAAAACTGTCAAGGAGAGTGAAGCAAATAATTCACTCAATAATTCAATTCAATTCCTACTATCTCTGCTGAATACAAACATTATTTTGTGTTTTAGAACACTTGGCTAAATACAAACAGAGAAGCTGCTTTTTTTACAAACTTCATAAACCCTGTATTGACAAGTTATTTAGGATTCAAATTCTTAAGCAATATTTAAGTACTTGCAGCAATTTGTTTCAATGATGCTATAATATTGAAAGTTTTTTTTATTACCCAGAAGCTAAGTGAACAACTGGCAGATAATACTTCATGTGGAGAGTGGGCAAAGTTCTATTGCAAATTAATAATTCTATACTAAATAACAAATTATTACAAATGTCAGTACAAAGGTCTGAATTTGTACAAGACAAACAATAACAAAATATTTTAGTATACAATGTATTTTAATTACTTTAGTCTGGAAGTTACAAAAATGCTTATTTTTGGCCCCTAATTCCTTAACTGTTGGTACCATAACCCCCAAAACCAATCCCAACCTTCCTTTTGTGGTATTGAACCTTATGGTGAAATTTCATAAAGATCCATTCACTTAAACTAAAGTTAGAGTGCAAAAACCAATGTGTCTTCGGACAACAACATCGACGACGCCAACGTCCTACCAATATACGACCGCAAACATATAAAAAGAAGATGATGAATCCTTAAACAAGGTATCATCATTGATAGGGATTCATCAGAATTAACAATTTCATCCTCAGTACTGTTTTATTTTTGCTAAAGATCAAAACAGAATAAAGTATTTCTTATTCAAAAACAAGATCCTTCCATACTTTATTCCTGTCTGGTTTGGTTCAAAATTAAAAAGTAGTTTCAGAGTACAGCAAAATGCGACTTCAAAAAAGGGTTAAATAGGAACCAAATGAATCAGGCAGTTTTGTGTGAGAATCTACCAAAAATAATTCTATAAATATTGAAAAACTTTTCCTGCAATTTTTTTTATCAGGTCGGCCCAGTAGTCTTTAAGAAGCAAATGAAGAAAGATTTCCAAGCTTTATTAAAGGGAACCTACTGGTATATGATCATTACAATCATGTCTGCTAACCAAACAGCACTAAATGAAAAAAATATTTAGAGAGAGTTAAGATTTTCCTATCATTTATTAATCCTATCAAGGTTAATATAATTTTGGTCTAGTAGGTCTGAGTATAACAATTAAAAGTTCAATAGGAATCAAGAAAAGATGATGACATTTTGATAGGATATCATATGTCAAGGTACACTGAGTTCTTTTTTGTATTACATTGGGTCAACTGCTCTTCAAATTTTAATACTGAAGTATTTCCAGCCTTTGGTTTAGAGAACTATTGACAAGAATTGTTTTTTTTTAATCCACAGAAGGTGCACCTAAGTAAATTCAGTATATTTTAATTCTGCATTGAACATAGTTTAATCAAGTCATTATTGTTACTAGGTATATATATTAACATTTTTAAATAGTTTTTGCACCTTTTCACCTTAAATGACCTACTGTTAGAAATTGATATGACAGAAAGATTTCAGAAACTAAAATGAAGTTATACTAATGAGACCATTACCAACAGGAAGATACTAAACAAATATCCTTCTCCATCCATCTTATTTATCTAATCTTAGATGCAGATATCATCCAATGAACTTATAGGTCTTCAATCAAAGCCGAAAAGACACTTGTAAATTTTTAAATGCTAATAAGTACTCAAAACCATCCTAAGGTTTTTAACACAGGTAACCAAACTAATAATATATGAAAGAATTGGCAATGTCTGACCACTGTATTGAAAAAGATGTCAAACACAGACTAATATTTGCAATTCATTGAATACACAGATTTCAGTGAAAACAGCTGAAATTAACCTCAGAACTATGATAGTAATGTAAACAGGTATAAATAATTATTAACATCAGCTTAAATATCTTTCTAAATCATTTTAATATAGTCTAAAGTGCAAGCTGAATATGTGTTAGGTAAACTATGAAGTGGCACTACTTTTATTTCTAGTTTATTAAATTACATCTAAGCATGACCAAATTAAATTTTTTCTAGCCATTTATCACCACAAAGACATGATTATAAGAAAAATGTTGGCAAATTAAAATAATTATATTTATTCTATTTTAATCAAACATATAATAAAACTTAATAAGGTAAATGTTTGGTCTGGACAGGTTAAATAACACCATTTTCACAGCTATTTGAGAGATTTGTAGAGAAAATAACCAATGCAACTTGTTCCATTTTTTTTTTATTAATTGTAAAACTTATAATCAAGATGACCATATACAAGTCTTACAAATAATAATATATGAAGACTTATGGTACCCAATAAAAGTCTCTCAAAAACTAGGGACACAATACATTAATCTGGGCTACAGAAATACAAGAATCTGAAAGGAATCTGGACTAATAAAATGCAAGTATCAATCTGAGTTGAACCTTTGACCCTGGGC